TGCTACTATTATGAATCATAAGGTAAGTATCTAATATGCAGAATGTATTTTTATTGTTACAAATTGAACATAATTAAAGCATAGTGATTAATCACAAAAACAATATGTAATTATATATGTGTTTTCTGATGGTCTTAGGCAACCCCTGTGAAAGGGTCGTTCGACCCCCAAAGGGGTTGTGACGCACAGGTTGAGAACCGCTGCTCTAGAGACTCTTGTGCACATATATACCTGGATGTATTATGCATATTTTCATTATAGCACTGTTGATAATAGCTCCAAACTGGGTCAATTCTAAATGTCCATCTTCAGTAGAGTGGATATATAATTTGGAGAATTTTCAAACAATAGAACATTATGCAGCAATGAGAATGAATAAACAATAGCTACATGCAATAATATGGATTAGTCTTAGCTGAGGACATGGGCTTTATTCTCTGCCTTAGTAAACAGCCAGAGACGACATCAGTGTGTGTGTAGGACACTGACTCTGAGCAGTGTGTGTGGTAGAGTTCCTACTGGAGACAGGGACCCCATTGGGAGGCAGTATGGGGGTCCTGGGGAGAGAAAGCCATCAGGTAATTAATGAGACTTTAACTGAAGAATAAGCCAGAAGTTAGCATAGTCCTGTGTGGAAAATGGTTCTTGGTAGCACAGAGCCTTTAAAGAATAATTTTTATTTATATAAAAATGATAATCAGGGTCTTATTCTATATAATAAAAGGGTAATATGCAAATTGACCCTAACAGCAGAACGACCACTGGACCAGTCACTATGGGGCACACTGATGACCACCTTTTGGTCTCTTTCCCTGGCCAGCAGGCTCTGATCTCCTGATGGTGAATGAGGAACTGGGGGTGGGTGGCAGGGGATGCAGGTAGCACCAGGCCAAGGCCCCTGTCCCGCCAGTTGCCCCACACATAGAGGGTGACCTGTGGCGGGGGTGGGGCCGGTGAGATGGTGGGAACAGCCAACCTTTCGGTCCCTTCCCCCGGCCGTCAGGCATCGATCACCTGATAGCGAACAGGGAACCTGGGGTGGGTGGTGGTGGGGAGTGGGGCCAGCTGTGGGCAGCCAGGGAAGATGGCCATGACCGCAGGCCAGGTCTAGGGACTGTACCTGTGTACGAATTTCGTATGCCGGGCCTCTAGTTATTAATATTTTTGGTGATTGGCAAATAATACATATTTATTATAGAAAATTAGTAAGAAGAACAAAGTAAATAATGCCTATAATTCACCCATAAATTTTCTTGTTAATATTTTAGTTGTCAATTTGTTGAAACTCAGCCATTAGCAGTCACAAGGGAGAGAATGACATTGACTGTTGAGAGATGTTAGGAAGAAAACAAACACAACCTGTCAATTGATTGCATGGATCGATTGGAAAAAGAACCATATAACATGTTGCTGAGATTTCTAAGGTCATAGACTTGGAGGACGCTTGTGTCATTTACTGAGGTATGAGCAGGACTGGAGTTTTGAGGTTTCAGTAGAAAATGAATGTGCATGACATCAAGTTATATGACCTTGGGCAAGTTCTTTAGCTTCTCTTTACTATAGTTTTCTCAGTAAGAGATAGAACAAATTTTAGAGTAACAACCTTAGAAGGTAATATAATGTCTGATAGAAAATATACACTGTTACTATGCATTTCTTTGAAGAGTCGGTGTGACCTAGGTATATTACATCATAAAGGAGATGCAGCCCTTTCTTTAGGCTTAACAGATAAAAGACAGGTATAAGAAAACTAGAATCTCCTATGTCTCTTTAGGGAAACAGAACAGGGCAAGCTTGGGCGTGGGAGAAAGTCTTAGGGCAAAAGGTACAAAGAACTAAGGGTACATAGTGTGGGAAAAGGGAAGCCCTCAGGTGATTAATGAGACTTTAAGTGAAGGATAAACCAGAAGTTAGCATACTCCTGTGTTGAAAATGGTTCTTGGTAGCACATAGCCTTTAAAGAATAATTTTTATATAAAAATGATCATCAGGGCCTAGTTGTCCATTTGTTCGTGCATTCATCAATCTATTCATCCCTCCTTCCCCTCCTCCTCCTCCTCCCCCCCTTCCTCCTCCTTCCTCAAAAAGGGCTGAAATTAAACTGTATATTGTTGTGCAACCTGCACAGGAACTTACATAGAGGCTTCTCTAACATGAGGGATTTAGGTTAGCTCTGTGTAGTAAGAAGCAAATACAGTATCTGATGTGCTTTGTCAGTGAGTTATTTAGGGAAAGTGCAACGTTTTCTTCTCTGGCAATCTTGAAATATAATGGAATAAACTCATTGATGGCAAGGGCAGGACCCTGCTTCACTGTCCTGTTATTGTCCCATATGTGGGAAAACTCTGAGCATGATTTTCTGAGCATGCACTTCTAAAATGGGTGAAAAGAAATATCGCTTAGAATATGATGTGAGACACTTTTATTAATCCCTCACCTATAATTGCGTTGAGGACTGAAGAGTGCATCTATCCCAAGAGGGTAAGACTGCTTAACATTTCATTTTTAAATATTAAAATCACTGTTAAATTCTACTCTGACTAATCAGGAATAAAGACAGGAAAGATTAGTGTCACATGAGCAAATCATTTTAAATAGGCTTAAATCTAAGAGGTGGAAGCTGCTTCGCCTAGCTTATAACTATTTGCCTAGACCATTTATATTGGATTGGCTAGAATAACTCTGTGTGTGTGTGTGTGTGTGTGAGAGAGAGAGAGAGAGAGAGAGAGAGAGAGAGAGAGAGAGAATCAAAGTCAAAGAGAGAGGAGACAGAGTGTTCTGAAGGCTTTGTTCTTCTGTGTGTATGATCTAAATGTAGAGTCTACTAATATAAGAGGATTGGAGAGAAGGTCTAATTAATTATTAGATAACTATTGGGATTGGGGAAAAGGTCTAATTAATTAAGTTAGATAACTATTGTTACCAAAATCACAGCTTTTTGGATCCATAATTTTCTCTGACCATTTTTATTAGTGTCAGTAAATGTGCTTGTATATGCAGGCCTGCGCGCGCGCACACACACACACACACACACACACACACACACACACACACACAGGAGGACATGGTTCCTATCTCCTTTCCATAGAAATCTAAGAAGGTAGGGAAATTACTTCCTTTGTAGACTCTTTTTGATTGTAAAAAATTTAAATTCATTCATTTAGTCATTAAACAAATGCTCCTTGAATTCATTGAGGTAAGCACTGTGCTGAAAATGGGGGAGAGGAGATTGTCCAACAGCATAAGTAGTGACAACAAGCCTTTTAGTCAGTGATGCACCGGTAACTGTTCCTCTGTACCTATTACTTGGTGGCCTCAGAGGAGAAGTCCTTGTTGCCTCCAGGATAAAGTCTTACCTCCTCAGCCTGAGCAGACCATTTGCAGTGTGGTCCCCAGTTGTCTTTCTAGCCTCATCTGACAGCTCCTGTGCCCATCATCTCCAGTCATTCCTACGGGGAGAATTCGATTTCTTTACAATCAAAAAAACTCAACTAACTATTGGGGCCTTTCAGAAAAGTAGTGAGTCCTTAGCCCTGTTTCTTCTGCCTGAGTCCTAGTGGTTTTCCTGTGGTGAATGCTCTGCCTGCATTGGCTGATGGGACACTCACTCGCTGGTGTCTGTCTGCAGACTGTGGTGCTGTAATAAGCCGTCATGCCTGCCTTTGTTCCTAGCAGCCTCCCAGCGTCCAAAACGTAAGGGGACTGCCTTCCCCTTCAGCCTTCTCAATAGGTGGGACAGAAAAAAGTTCTCGGGCAGCCGCCATGTAAAACCAGTGTTGGGCGTACCTTTCGTTCTTCTTTCTTTCTCCCAGTGGAGCAGCCAGGAGTTGGGAGTTTTCTCCTGATGGTGTGCGCTGTGCTGGGTGGATGGGGGCCATGGTAGGTAAATGCAACCAACTTTCTTACTCACTCTGATGCAGTTCTGCGTGGCTTTGCAATCACAGGGCAGGTGCTGGAACCTCTTAACTGGTTTGTGGAATTTTTACAAAGGCAATTGGGTCCTTCTATTGTTGTTCAGTCAGTGTCTCCAAGGAGGAGCGAGGGCCTGCGGCTTCCCCTTCTGCCATCTTTCTGACATCATTGTGAAGTGTGACCCACACCTCTGCTTTATGAATTGGAGATCATTAATATTGGTAGAATTTAAATAGGGTAAGAAGTCATTCCAGGCTTCGGACTTTCCCGTCTGTCTGTCTCTCTTTAGTAATGGGGCTAACATTTAATGAATGCTCATTGCACGTCAGCAGCTGTCCATGTTCCCGTTATATGCATGAGCTCATCTACTTCTCATAGTAGTTGGAAGAGACTAGGATTGTTCCCAATTTACTCATGAGGAAACTGAGAGAATAAGTAATTTACTCTAGGTCACACAACTGATCATTGTCTCAGACTCAATTTTAAAAAGCCATTTTATAGCATGAAATTATTCTACTATTTAAAATTAATATTTAGAATTAGTTAAATTTATTTATTGTGGGTCAACTAGAGCAACTTTCTAAAGATTGACTATCCTATCATGGAATTATTTACTCGGCGTGACTACAAATCCTGTGTTCTGCAGTTGTTAGAATAATGCACCCATACATTTTCACTTCTCCCCACCTTATTGAGATGCAGCTGACATATAACATTGTATAAGTTTAAGATGTACAATGTAATGATTTGATATATGTGCATAATGCAAAATGATTATGGCAATGAGGTTAGTTAAGGTTCCATCACCTCCCATAGTTTACTTTTTTTGTGTGTATGTGTGCTGAGAACTTTTAAAATCTACTCTCCTAGCAACTTGAAACAGTATTCCCTAGTTTGAATAAGACTGTTGCTTCTGTTATATAATTTGTAAGTCTCTACTGAAACCTTTTGTTGTAACAGGCAATTATTGAATTACTATGGATATAATTTTGTGGTGATTATAAGTGGTAATTAGGCTTTGGAAATCCCTGAGGTTTAAATATCTGAATGTAGAATGACATCAAAGATTATATTTTTGCTTTTTGCAGGACAGAGTTCATTCAAAGAGGCAGGATTTCAATCACAGGGGCTGGCTTTCTCAACTGCATTTTGGAAACTTTTGCCAGCACATTCTTAAGACAGGGAGCCCAAAAGGTAAGCCTGTTTCCATTTGGAACCGACATTAATAATTTTTAGAAACCATAGATATTCCCATTGGACTCTTGAATAAAGCTCCATATACATACATATGAAGAACAAAATACAGTTCATAAACAAATATATGCCAAAATAATCACCCTCACTAATCCTATATAACAAAAGCCTAATATGCTAAGTGTCCAACCATTCGACAGTTCGACCAGTCACTATGATGTGCACTAACCACCAGGGACAGACCCTCTGACTGGTAGGTTAGCTTGCTGCTGGAGTCTGGCTTAGTGGGACTGGGCAAAATGGACTGGACACACCTTGGAGCCCTCCCGCATCCCCTCCCTGACCCCAATCATGCACCAGTGGGGTCCCTTGGCCCGCCCTGCACCCTCTCGCAATCCGGGACCTCCTCGGGGAATGTCAGAGAGCTGGTTTCAGCCCGATGCCCACAGGCCAGGCCAAGGGACCCCACCAGTGCACAAATCCATGCACCGGGCCTCTAGTTATTATCTAATCACAAATCAAAGTAAAACTAAAATACTGTTTGTGCCCCATTAAATGAAAAATATACCAATGAAGAGTATGTGATGATATGGAGAATACTTGTAGTCTAATTAAGAGAAATAATCAGAAAGAATAATTATATTTATTGTATATACAATATGATGACAACTATTTAATTAAAAAGATAATAACTAATATTTATTGAGTGCTTACTGTGTGCTACTCACTGTAAAAGAGAATTTTTACTTATCTTATTTATTCCTTACAAACCTTTGAGAAAGCTGTACTTTTGTCCTGATATTAGGGATGAGAAGACGTAGAAATCCAGAGCTCCTGTCTGTTCATTACTGTGGTTTTCAAACTCCATAACTGGGGAGCTTAAGCTTCAGGAAGGTGATTCAGAGGCCACCTTGGCGTTTAAGGTTCTAATGTACCCTGTTTTAAGTAGAGCAATTTAGTCTTTAGTCCAATATGGTGTATCACATGAGATTCACATATCTTGTGTTCTTGCCTAGGGCAAAGTCTAACTCTTATGCATCTTCATATGCCTATTGCAGGTGTTCTGCAGTGGTTTGAATTATTTAATATTTATTTTATTTATAGTGTGTTATTTATGATATTATTATTGTTGTTTTTAATTGTAATTATGAGCATAATCACTTATTCCCAGGATTTACTCAGGACTTGTGCATATGTTACCTAGTAGGCAGGTTTACTGGCTGGTCTAAGGACTATTGTTATGACCCCCAGAGATATTCTGGACAATGCACCTTTGTGTTTAGTTTGCAAGCCTAGGTTCAAGAATGAGCCTGAACTATGATGCGTTAGTCTGGAAGACTGAGAGGGATGAGTGAGTGTTTGGTGCTGAGCTGTATCCATAGACATCCTGGCCCAGATTAGCACGTATCCAGACTGGCCCAGCCTGTTTCAGCCTGGGCATGAAGAGGGTAGTTGAACTTCTGGAAGGTCTGACCAATACTCATTCAGAAATTATTGCGGGTTTTTCTGCTGTATTGCAAAATATGCATTTGCAAAAAAAGCCACATGTTCCACAGAATTACACTCTTAAAAATAATAAGGCTGATGAAAAAAATAATTTTGGTGTCATGTCCCTGCTTGAGTTGATTTCTTGTATGTTGTTTAGGTCAGGAATGGCAAGCTTTTTCTGTAAAGAGTAAGATGAAGTTAGACTTTGTGGGCCAAGAGGAAAAATTGAGCTATTTTGTAGGTATTTTATAACAAGAGAGAAACCAATTTGCACACATTTTACTAAAAATATAATAACAGCAATGGAGTATACTTTTTTTGGTAATATAGGTCTACTAAGAATATAATTATTATAAGAATGGAATTATATATATATTTTGGCGGGGGGAGATAACATTTAGCTGATCTGGAATAAAAAATTAGTTTTTCCTACTATCAAGTTGGTTGTAAATGTTTATTTGTAAAGACCGTTCTTATCTTGTGAATCCTACAAACACAGGTAATGGGCTGGATTTAGCTTGTGGACTATCATGGACTATAGTTTGCCAATCCTTGCTTTGGATAAATAAATATTGTTTGATTAATCCAAATGGGTCTGTATTTGATTTGTCCATCATTCTGAACCTAGTAATTATTTAGGCAGACAGTGGTTGTACATTTTGATCCTGTGAGATACATAGAGTAGGCGTTATTATTTTCATTTTATAGATGAGCAATGTCTTGAAGAGATAAGTGCACCCAATATGTGCATGGCTGCTTGCCTGCCTTCCTTCCTTTTACAAGTACATATTGAATACCTGCTTTGTGCTAAGCACTGTGTTACGTGTGGGCTAAATGGATCTCCTCAAGATCATAGATCTAGCAGGGGGTGGAGTCTAGACTCAAATTCCCATCTTTTATCAATAAGTTTTACCCTTTGCCACTTTATCAGAAGTGCCAACGTGCAGGCTTTAGAGGAGTGGGGAATACCTGCAGTCCCACAGGTTTCTGGCCTCACAGTACGTTTTATGCTCTTGATAGCAGAGGGGGATTTTATTAACCTTAGTTCCAATTCCCTCCAACACGTAGTACCACGGACAGCGCCCTGTATATTTCCATGGAAATGAGTAGTTCCAGTTGGTTTCCGATGACTACTGTCTGGAAATAATCAGGGGACACCAATTTTAAAGTGAGGAAGCCAAGTGATTCCTCTGTAATCTCACTCATTATGCTCAGAAGTATGACTATATTCTTTTCTGCCAGCTTTTGCCTTTTCCAAGTTTTTCTTTCTTTCTTTTTTTTTTTTAAGAAGCCTCGTTTAATTAGGTAGCTTTTCAAGTAGGAGCCACTCATGCCTGAGTGTCTTTTACCTTTTATTCAAGTGGTGATATTTTCCGGTGTCAGCCTGATTTCCCGATAAAGCCTTCACAGCTGAGCCTGCATAAGTGGCTTCTGCGGAGGTTACCATGAATATTTCAGGTGACTTTATTTTCACTTTAGAACTTTATCCCTAAGGCTGTTGAGTGGTGGTAAAGGCGGGATCTGATATCTTTTTTTTCCCCCCCGAAAGAGCAAAGCTAGGCACTCAGAGTGTTCATATCTCTGTTTGTAAGGTAAAAGCCAGCCCTGGACACAGACCCCTAAGCCGAGGTCACTTGTGTTTCTGTGCCTCTGGGGGCTTGTTGGTTGCTTTTCTCTTCTCCCTCCTCAGGTGACCTGCCATTCAGGGGCCTTCCTGACACCGATGCTGACTTTCATGCATGATTCAGTCCTCACTGTGCTCTTGGAGTGTGAATATGTGGGTAGGAGAATGGGGATTGCCTCTTCGTACTCAGGTCAACAAATAGAAGCAGTTCTGAACTCCCAGCCCAGCAAAGCCCACTGTCTTTGTGATGTAGCTCACGTTGCTTCAGCCCTCTGATCCTATGTTTAGTTGTCCACATGTGGGAATTTTAACTCATTCTCACAGAGAGGCGTGAAAGTCATGCTTGAAAAGTTTCAGTATTGAAGAACATGGGTCAAATATACATAAGGTATTCTTTTTGTTCTTGCAAGTTAAAAAGAATCCTACTCGCTTCTTTTTCATACTTTATTTTCATGATGACATGTTTTGTCTTGCTTTGCTTTTTCTCCTCAAATTCATGTGCACACACAATAGATTTTAAACTCAGAAGTCCAGTTTCACAAACACTTTGGGTGTCAGCCGAGGCAGGCATAAGCTTATCTGACTCCAGAGTGTGCTCTTGGCGACTACACCACGACTGTTGAGTGGTGGTAAAGGTGGGATGTAATGTCTATGCCATATCCATGGGCTCTGCATTCCAGCTGCTTGTGTGGGGCAAGATGTGTGAGGAGATGTGCGGTATCCATTAAGGATGGGGGCAGGGCCCACAGAAGCAAGGAGCTCAGTCACCGTGGAAGAACTTACAATTGACCAGAGGAGTGAGGGGCGATGATGATGTCACTTGCAAGGGCCCTTGATTGGCTACAGAGTGACCTCCTTCTGTTCAGAGCCCCCAGACTCCAGAGGCCTAAATGCTGTTGAGGGTGTGTTTAGCTGGCATTTCTGGCATTTTTACTATAATGACATATCCTTTTTCTGATTTTCCATGGATTACGGATGTGTTAATGCTTCTTGTTTTGAAAATATCTTTATATTAAGAAAGATTAAAATGCATATTAATTTTTTTATTATGGTAAAATATACATGATATAAAATTCACCATCTTAATCATTTCTAAGTGTACAGTCTAGTGTCACAAAGTATATTCAGTGTTGTGCAACCATCATCACCATCCATCTCCAGAGCTTTTTCATTATTCTAAGCAGAACTCTGTACCCATGCTATATAATAAAAGCCTAATATGCAAATTGACCAAACTGCAGAACGACAAGTTGGCGGGGGGGCTGGGGAGTGGGCGGCACCAAGGCGGGTGCCAGCAGGCAAAGGGAGGGGACAGTGATGGGGGCGGGGAGCAGTGGCGACTGGGGGTGTCAGAGGGGCAATCAGGGGGAGGGGGTGATGGTGGGGCAGGTCACTCACTGGCCAGCGCTGTCCCCTGATCAGCCCGCGGGTCACCTCCCGCAGAGGGAGGCCAGAGTCACCAGTCGGACATCCCCCGAGGGCTCTTGGTCTGTAAGAGGGCACAGGCTGGGCTGAGGGACCACCCCTCCACCGCCCCCCCGGAGTGTATGAATTTTTGTGCACTGGACCTCTAGTTAAATAATAACTCCCCATTCCTTTCTCCTCCAAGCTCCTGGCAACCATCATTCTATTTTATTTTAATTGTCACACAAGGATGTGTCTTTTTGTTGATTTTAGAGAGAGAGGAAGTAAGTGAGAGGTAGAGAGAGAGAGAGAGATCAATGTGAGAAAGAAACACCAATCAGTTGCTTCCTATACACAGCCCTGAGTGGGGATTGAACCTGAAATTGAACCTGCAACCTTTGGGTGTACAGGATGATACTCCAATCAACTGAGCCACTGGCCAGAGCCACCATTCTACTTTTTGTCTCTATGAATTTGCTTACTC